GTTTCAGCCTGTATATTACAGCAAAGTAAACACAAAGACAATTAAATATAAAGAAAGAATAAGAATGGATATTATTTTGTTATCTTTTTCTTAAGGATAATTTGTTTAAGGGATCATTTTTGAGAGATCATATGTTTCTAATTTATTTTTAAGAAGAAACCTTTACTGAGCAAGGCCAAAATGCATTTAAAGGTACAATACTGACTAGACTTCAGTTAATCAGTGCTAGGACATTACACTGCCATTGGGCATAACATTTGCAGATATTATTGATATTCTGAGGGTTTGAGATTTTTCCTCTCCATTGTCTTGGCAATTCAAGTTGTTAGATTTAAGAAACCCGATCTCAGATATCTTGAAATCCTAGAATGCTAAAATCACACCAACAGATTAATCAATGGAAAATATTAGATGATGTTAAAAAAGACCCAAAATTCCTTTTGAAGTTAGAAACAAATGACTTGTAAAATTTAGTTAATATTGGGAAATATAAAAAAACTTAAATAATTTTCTGTAAAAGCTGCTCTCTAAGCAGCTCAAGATACAATTGATGTATCTATTAATCCATAAACAAAAATGAAAGAAACATACTGAATACTTGAAGAGAAAATCTGACTCCACCAAAATTCTGGTAACAGTGTTACCAGAACAGGTAGCACAGGCCCTTTATATGTAAAAGAGTTGAGGTCTAAATTTACATTAAATATCTCAGTACAATTTCCACCTGCGCTGCATTTTGTGCCTATGTGTAGAACCTGTACCTCAGATAGAGACAACCTGGTGTCATTTATTTTAATCAGCAGTGCTCTGCAGATTACTGTGCCTGACTCCCTTAGAGAAGCATTGACAAAGGGGTCCCTTGAATTAACCCTTGGACTTTCAAAACTGTCTGATTGTTGTTTTGCATACAACACCTGTTTTGCAGCTCATCTGTGAACAGTGCTTGTTTTCAGTTGTATGATGTCTAAAAGGAATTGTGAAAGTCACATGCATAGTGTAAAAAAATCCCCAAAGTATTTAAATTATATTTTTGTAGATGAGGACTTCTAGGGAGGTGGGACTTTTTTTCCTCAAGAACATCTTTGACAAGTGGAATTGTTTATGGATTTGAGGCCAAACATTGACAGAGTAAGAAGCCACTTCTGCTGTATCTCAGAGAAGTTATAGATGTCTTATCCCTGGAAGTGTTCAAGACCAGGTTGGATGGGGCTTTAAGCAAGTCTAGTGGAAGATGTCACTGCCCTTGTCAGGGGAGTTGAACTAGATGGTCTTTAAGAGGCCCCTTCCAACTCAAACCTTTCTGTGATTTTGTGATTCTATAAGTATCTTGTGAGATGAGTCCCTGTCACGTGCTATTCCTGAATTGTCCTTAAATATAATCTGAAATAGCAGCATTTCCTAGAAAGGAGCAATGCCTCCCAACTAGGGAAATCACTGACAATTGAACAGTCTTTACTGTGGCACACCAGTGACTCAAGCCTGTGACGTTTTATTTCTTTAAGAGATTTAAATGTACCAAAACCATAAATTGTCTTCAACTTCTACAATAATTTAAGAGGACAGATTAGCAAGGCCCAGGGTGAAATTTCATACCAAAATTAAATGGAAGGAGCATCTGGCTCGGCATCAGGACAGTCACACAAGGTTTGAAGAAGGGATCCAGTTGCAGTACTCCTTACATGTGAACTAATGAGCTGTTAGGATATTTAGGAGAGGGTACTTGGACAAGGGGGAACTTGAAAGGGGAAACCTGAATCTGATTTTAGCCACATCAAAGCTGCATGCAATAAAGAGTAACCAGACAAGATTTTACCTAAGTTTGGTATAAAATGGAATAAAACCTTCTGAAATCTCAGTAAGTTTCAGAAAGTGAAAGAGCTGTTTTCTCATTTGGATTTACCCTTGACTTCTACAGTAACACCCTTGAGGGCATTTGTTCTTTTGCCCTTCTGGAACACTTTTCCCATCTGTGTTTTCCCTGCTCCATTTCTGGCTGTCTGCATGTACAGCATGCCATGTACACTGTGGTGTGTGACACGTTAATACGTATAGATAGCCTTCTGCTTCTGACCTTACAAACTGTCCACTTCAGCATTGTCATTCTATGAAATGTCCAACTGCAGTCCAAGAAATGCATTTTAAATGTGAATGCAAACATTTCTATTACTGATAACACCAGCGCAGCATTTTTTGCTTTACTGGGATTAGGACCTTGATAGTTAAAGTTGCATTGGAGTAATGACACTCCAAGGTTGTGTCCTTTACAGACATGGCAAAGGAAGGGGAGGCCTTTGCTATGTCTCTGCTGATAAAATTAAGAAGAATTATTCCTTTTGTTTGGTGAGATTATATTAAAAGTGGAAGTATATATTTGTGGCCCATAAATATGTTAGGTCACAGAAACTGGGAGAAATTTACGTGTTGCAAAATGTTGCAGTTATATTTCATTCATGCTGAAAGTCAGATTTTTAGAAAACAATCTGAAATCTGATAATGATGTAAATAAATACCTCTCTCCTCAGTGAACAGCCATATTCTCACATGAACAGCTGCTGTTCAGCTAGGGACACCTTAAAAAATAAAATTGAAGTACTATGATCTGCAAAGAGAAACTCACAGGAAATTCCAGCTTAGAAAGCTAATTCTGAATATGCTCCACCGTGGTTCACTTTCATGCTCTGTAAAATGGGGATAATAATCTTTATTGATCTTTCTACCTTTTAGCAATGCATTAAGAAGAACTTAAATGGTATCTTTACAATCTTTTTGAGCAGACTGATATATGCAGCTCTTACAATACAGCTTAGTAGCTGGCTTGCTATTTTATCAGGTTCTCCCACAGGAGAGCTGTCCTGCTTTTCTTTATGGTTCTCTAGTCTTCCCATGCTAACTTCTAACTGGGCAATTGTGGTAAATTGATGATGACTTCAGCACCTACCACTTGTTACCTGACCTACTATAGCTAACCAAGTGCGCTCTTTTTGCTTCAGGAGTTGGTTTAAGTTGTCACACTGTACTTCACAGTTGAGCCAACCTAGAGACACACCATTGGGGTGTGACTGCTGAAGGAGAAGTCACTCAGTAGGACCCTGTCACTTGATCAAGTAATATCTTAGCCTAATAATGGAAGAGGGTGATCCTCTGATGAGAGCTGCCTGCCCCTCCAGCTATGCCTGAGTTTCTTGGATGTCATTGCATGATGCTTTCTTGAGGATGGATTTTCTGGGGTTGTTGTATCTCACCTCTGGTGACTCAGATAAGCAGAGGTCCTCAGAGATCTCTGGTACTCTTCACCACACAGTTCACACCTGTATCCATTTTATATATTTAGCAAGAGATTCAGAGTTGTTTCTCTAGTTTTGCACTTGCACAAAGTAACTTAGTGGTCTGTCCTCAAAGCTAACTGATGTTTTCACTAAACAGTTATTTTACAGCAAATTTTACACTGTATTGTACAGGTTCCATTGATATAATCTAAATTAATTGTTGAAATCAATAGGAATTTTATATGTTTTGGTTTATATATTTGTTTTAGGAACAAACTTGCTTTTGAGTTTTATTAGAAACACTTCCGCCTATTTTTATGAGCAAACTAGTCTGTGACTAGTGTTGTCTATACTTCCCTTTCTCTTTCCATCCATCCCTCTCTCATACCTACTTAATGGCTTTGAAACAGCTGATCAGTTTCAACAAAACTTATCAGAAACAAAGAGATCTAAAAAGATGATTAAGCTCCCAAATGGAATGAGAATCAGCAGACAGACTGAGGAAAGCTGCCCTGTTACTATCTCCACTGAGGAAAAAGAAGGAAAACTCAGCCATAATCCACTCTCTTTCTCAGCACCAAGTAGGTCTATACTAGTCAATGTATGTGGTAAGGGATACAGGGCAACTGGGATCATTCTAGTGGGGGTCAAAATGGACCCATCAAAGTATGGTTGATTCTGGGGATAAAGAGGAGGAAGCAAGGTTTCTGGAGAGGGAAGACTGTAAGCCTTATAATAGGGTAGATGTTTTCTGGCTGGCTATGATAGAGAGAGAGGAGGTATGGTGAAGGAAATAGAGATGTTTTGCTTTTTTTTTTACTTTTCCCATTGCAATAATCCTATGACTCCAGCTTCATATGTTGCTGTTTGAAAATAAAGAAAAAGTTTGGGTTTAGTCTCAAGTTTTATCAGAAGTTTGTTTCAGATGCTCTAATACTTGTAAAAAGAATCTTCCAACAGCATGACTTTTTTCAGCCTAGCAGCTTATTGACTGACAAGCTTTCTTATGACATCTGTTTGACATCTCATTCTAATATTAGTTTTACAGTCACATTCACTGTATTCTCAAGTCTGAGATGTCATAAGTGTCTCTTTCTGCAAGTAGTTGCCCCAGAAATGTTACTTAATATATTTTATCTAACATCAGCCCTCCTGTTGTGTTGTACTTCATAGTTGTCATCCAAAACTGGCTGCATTTTTATGAATGTATCTTAATAAGGCATGTCCTGAAAGGCACCAGTATCCCTTTGTTCCTTCCTGAAATCACATGGTAGTAATGAGTGGTCATCTAGAGTACTAGGTATCAGTAAGTCAAGGAAAATTACACAAGCATTACACAGTTAGTACCATTGTACGGATGAGTTGTAGAAAGAAGGACAAAAACACTGATATTTGCTTCTATTTCACTCTATGTTAAAATATGAGGTGGGAACAAACTGTGGTGCAGGGCCCCAGGCTTGGCCCAGCATTTGTTTCATATATTCTCAGCCACAGCAGATTGTTGCAGATGGCAGTGGACAGTGGCAAAACGTACAGGTGATATGTGACATGACGAATGAGTTTGCAAGTCCTCATCACCCCAGTGAAGAAATGGTTGTTTCCCACCCTCAGCCTGCCTTACTTGTCTCTCTGTGTTTATTTCATCTAAGTTTGACTTAACATGCATAATATAAGTAATCACGTGTGGTAAGTATATGTGGCAAGTGTGCATTTTCCCTGTGTTGTTTTTTTCAGATTATTGGAACAATCCCATTGATGCCTAATCCAGTCCCCTCCAGCCAGGCGGCAGGTGGAGCTCAGGGGCTTCAGGTGCAGCCAATAACTCCACAGTTACTGACCAATGCCCAGGGTCAAATCATCGCTACTGTCATCGGCAACCAGATACTCCCAGTGATCAATACCCAGGGAATAACACTATCGCCGCTTAAACCAGGCCAGCAGGTAAAGTGTCTGTAGCCTGAATGATTTTCAAAACAGACACACAGAAATCTTCTACTTGTGAAGGACACTCTCGTGGCCTCTCTAAAAACTCCCAGTTCAGTTCTTTGTCATTTTTAATAACAAAAATTAATTTCTAGTGTATTACTGCGTACTATATATGTAGTTATTAATAATGTCATATTATATAATTTACTTATACATCCAAGAATTATCCAGTTATTCTTTTTCTTTTCTTTTCAAGGTCAATATAGGGCCAACTGAGATATTTTCTGCAGTGAAAGTGTAATAGGATTATGAGACAGGGGAGACCCACCTGGCCTATGAAGTTGAGTACCTTAGTTAGTGGTCACCTAGTAGACTGGGGCTTGAAATTATTTGGAACACACAAGGAAAGAAAGGAAAAATATAAAATCTTGTTAGTCCTCCTCACTGAAAAATCAGATATGATTATATATATTTGCATAGACAGAAAGTATTTTAGGGAAATTATTACTCAGTGTAAGGCAGCAGGTGGTTCACAGAGTTAAGGATGGCTCCAGTGACCACATTGACCCAAAAGATTTCTGTTGTTTTTTTATAGTATTCTAAAGTCAAATTCATTAGTTTTGCCTACATCTGTAGAGCAAGGAATTGTAGTCCCACATTTTTCTCTGAAAGAGACAAAATTGAGGATGGAAAATCCATCAGATGTGATTACCAAAGAGATACTTATAAAAATGTTTCTCACTTAAATGTTCATCTTAGCATCTCTGTTGCTGGTAGTACTTTATTGCCAGTCCTGCCTACACCTCTAAGCACAGGTAACAGCTTCTTGTATGCTGTTGGAAATCCCAGGCCACCCCGAACTCCAAACCAATGATTTTATTTTTTTTTCCCAAATCTTCGTTCACGAAGCCTAGCCATGATTTTTTCAAATTTAGAAGTAGAGAACCAATGGATCTCTAAGGTGACTTTCTGTTTGTTTTGAAAATGTTCCACATCCAAATGGTTACATGCTTTTTTCCCCCATCTTATCCTCCGTAGTATCTAGCAGAGGCATTTTCCAAAGCACTTGCCATTTATCTAACTCTATTTTCTTTAATGGGAGCATACTTGCACTACTGATGAGTGCTTTTGCAATCATTGCATGTATATGGTTTCAAACAAAGTAGGATGGATGGGAGGGCAGGCTTTGGGTTCTTCACACAGGAAAGCTTGACAATGGAATAAGAAACTCAGTAGTTTACATTTGATTTTCTGGGGGGGTGTGGGGTGGGGTATTTCTTTCTGAGTCAGTCCCCTGAAGAGATTAGATCTTTCCCTCCTTTATGGGGGAAGCTTTCAAAAATCATAGCAATCCTGAGATCCCATTTGAAACACATACAATTTAGAAGAAAAGAGGAGGATAGAAGACCTGTATTATTGCCTGAGACATTCTCACCTGCAGGACTCACCTTCTGAGTCCTGCAACAAAGCAACTTTTTTCCAGGCAATGTCTGCCAGTAGTGTCAGTGGGCAGAGAGGGGACAGAGGCGTGACCGTTTTCTGCACAGCTCATGGCACTGGGCTCAGATAAAGGGACAAACTGCTGAAAGCTGCAGTTTGCTGACTGAGTGGGGTGCAAGGCAGAAAGCTCTGTTTAGCTATATCATGCTGTATTGTACTAATTCACCCAACCTCTGCACTCATGTGCAACGATCAGCTGGCAGCGATCAACAATCTCAAAGAATTAGTTATGTCCAAGAGCCAAAGGTGTTCTCCATTAAGCTGGTCTGCCCAGCTGAGTAGGTAGAAAACATTGTTTTGCCAATGCCAGTTTCACAGGGTTCACCCTCTCCCTGTTACACAGTCCTGAGGTCCCAGGGGTTGCAGAAAGGGCCATCAAATAACATGGTCTCCTTACTTTAGATCAGATTCTCTTGGAGTTTGATCAAGATGGTATTACTGATTGAGGAGGAGGAAAAAAAAAGTAGTGCAAACACTATATGAAAAAATAGTACGTTATTATTTGTATAGGAACCACAATGTGTGTATTTGTGCTCCCTCTACTGGCTCTTCTGGTTTTACTGAAGGAAGTCAGAGGAAATTTAGCCGTGAATTTCAGTGGCAGCAGAAAAGAGGCATGAGAGCTAGATTTCCCTTAGGAATAATGCTGACGGACAGTGAAAAGCAATTGAGCTAGTACTATACAAGCTGTCGTAGTATTTGAAAAGTGAATAGATTTACATGAAGTTTAAGGAGACCCTGAATTTATTTTATTGCCTGGGTAAAGATTTAGCCTAACTGCAATGTTTGGCTAATGATAGCGTATCTAGACATACAGTTTAAAATCTCATTTTCAGAAGAATTGAGTGAGTGCTTAAACCCAGAGGGCTCAGCAGGAATTCAAAATATTTTTGAAAATGGTGTCACATGGCACTTGGTGTCTTGTAACTTGATGAAAGAAACTTCAGAACGGGGAAAGATTACAACACAAGTTTGAGAAAAGTTTTTAGAATGTCATGGAGAAATGAATGCAGGAAATAAATAATGTAGTAAAAATGTTTCAGTTACAGATGATCCTAGTTTAACTTTCAACTTGTCACTTCCTTGGAAACTGAGTGCTTCAGGAGAAAAAGAGGTGATTACAAGCAATGATAGTAAGCTGCTGCTTGTTAGCTGAGTCACAGTAATTGAACCTTTGTAAACTGCTCCAGTTGCTAAGGAATGCGTGCTAGTGCTTACTTTTGCCTGATGACTGAAGACTTAAATGTCTCAGATATTGGTTTTAGTCAGCTTTACTTAGGTAGACTACATGTGTTATTTATTCATACAACTTTTTCAAACTTGACAGACTAAAATCTCAATATCTCCTCATGGAAATGAGTTCATAGATTACTTACATGTATTGTAAAGTGGTGCTTCTTTTTCTGTGCTATAAATAGATTGCTTTTTAATGTACACAAGCAAGCCTGTTGTAGTCCTATTCCTCTTGTCTTTAAGTATAAATAGAAATTTTTGATTTATGTTCTTTAAACTACTTACAGTAGGGATTGTTCCTCTTCAAATTACACTGAGTAGGTAAATCTTCGGATTTTTTACTATTTTACAAGATTTTACTAATCTAAGAAGCACTGTCTGTGCACACATCAAGAATTCTCCTAGAAATTGCACTCCTGTTTTAGTCTGTACCCTTTTTATCTCTGTTCATAAACAAGTTTTTCTTTGCCTTTAATACTTTTTACTGCCCATCTCCCAAACATTTCATTTCCACATTAATCTCTTCAAGATATTTTGATCAGAACTGAATGCCATGGTCACAGTGAAGATTCATCACTGTTCTACATAATAACATTATAATATTTACAGCATTATTGTCTTTCTTTATCTCAATACAGTCTAACATCCTGCTTTTTTTTCTCTCTGTTCACTAAGCAATTTTTTTCAATAAGCAGATGTATCCACCATAATACATCTTTGCTTCCCCTATTGTTAACATGTGTGTCTCTAAAATGGTTCCTTTTGATGTGAATCACTTTGCACTGATCTACTCTGTATTTCATCTGTTGTAATGCTCCCCTGGTATGTTGTAAACAGGATCTGTAAGTTATTCATGGTATTCTCTACTAACTGAAGAAATTCATGTGTTCTTCCTGATGATTCAGCTTTGCCATTGTTCACCATATTTTGTTGCTTGTTGCTAAAACCGCTTAAAAATTAGGTATAAATCCTTTGTTCTTTACTTGTAGTCTCCTTTCTTGAAAAAGGATGATTTATTCCCGAATTTTATGTTTCTTGCTTTATAAGCTCTTTGTGTACCGTAATAGAAGAGTACCTTTTAACCTTAACTCCTGCACTTCCTCCATGCCTCTGAAGAGGGATTTTGTCAAAATGGAGGTTGTATGGCTAAATGCACGTTGTTTTCAAGAACAGATGAGCTCATTGTAACAACTTGTTAGCATTGCCATTGACTATCAGATTTGAAAACTTTGTTTCAAGGTATTCTTTCATATCTTTAACAACACAATGTTAATACAGCAGAGCTGACAGAAGAACTTGAAATTGCAGTCCTACAGAATTTAGGAAAGGATGTGCCTTGCTTGACTTAAAGCAATTATGTATCTGGTGTAAGCTAGTTAACTGGATTTCCTGTGTAGACATAGACAAGGAGACTGTGCCCTGAGTGGGCAACTCAAGCTGTCAAAATAAAATAATTTTAGATATGTTGAATCTCTTTTAGGTATCTTAAGGTATCTATTGTCTTCATTGACATGAGAGGGGGCTAGAGTAGCTATTTTAGGATCATCAGTTAACTCTTACGTGAGTGAAATTAGGTAAGAAGAATCCAACTGCCACTGATTACTGGGGTTCAAAACACATCCTTGTTTATGAATTCCCTAAATAGCTTTCCTACTAAATATTTTCGTAACTATTTGCTTGCCCATACAGAAGCACCTTCTACACATTCTGTTGTTCTGCAGTGTACCTCATAAAGCAGGTTCCCTTCTCACTGTTGCCTGGCTCTTTCCTTCTACATACTAGCTCCATTAAATCAGGTCTGTAGTCCCAGTTTTCCTCAGTCTTGTTTTATCTACACTGCCTGCCAGAACTTTTCATATTTCATTGTGTCTTACAGCACAACCAGCTTTGGGCTTCTGCCAGCTCTAACACAGTGAAACAAGCTCCTAGGCAGCATTTTCTTATGTAGTCAGTTCCTCATCCTTGTTGTCGTTGGCTATCATGCTCCAGATCAACTGTTGAAAAGACACAGCTACCTCTTAGATGGGCCTGTGGTGATTCTTGTGCATCTGCTTTCCAAATTTCATGCTAGACATTTTCTTTCTTCTGTCTCAACCTGCCACATACACCCTACCATCTTGTTAACACAAGTCCATGCAATACCTTGCTATCCTCTCTCATTAAAATCCAACCAGCTCTCAGTCATTTTCTCTCTGCAATGCTCTCAGTGCTTTCATGCTGTCTTGTTTTATGAGAAGTGCACTCTTCTTTCTCTGTGTTTCAATATAGTCACTGAAGTGTGC